AGTTTCCGCTTTTCTATTTATGAACATTTTCCTCTGTAGAACACAGGTTCTAACCCAAAGTTATAACACAGCAATGACCAATGAAGCATGATAGAAAAATAGAAACTTGGAAAGAGAAAGGTAAATGTTGCTGAGCAGGTTTGTACTAAAAAAATAATTTTACTCTCAACCAAGAACTGAAGGTCTGGAAAAGCCCCAAGATTCATAAGAGTAGGAAATAAGAGAAGCAAATAAGAGCTTCTAGTATTTTGTGGAGTAACACTGGAAACATTGGAGCTGCCCAGCAGACTGTGTGGGAGAGGTATGCCTGTGTCATCTGGTGTATGAGTCTCAAGATGGTGAGGTCACCTGCTGTCTGGACTATGATCTTCAGGGCACCCCAAATGATAATTTCTTGAAGAGACCTAAAACCCTTTGATAAGGAGAGTTAATTCACCTAGAGGTGAGAAAATAAACTATTCTACGAGGTCTCTTTTCAAGAACCTAGCTAGGAATCCAAGTTAAAGAAGTATAATAAGCCTCTAGAAAACCACCTGGTCATTTGTTACACAGGTGCCTCTGGCACAAGGGTCATGATCAAATCCTACTTTAATATACTAAACTCTCTTCTCAGTAGTACCTCCATCGGGCCCATTAGCAATGATAACCTTTTACATTTGTAACCTTTTGAGGTTTTCCTGGTGCTGACCTCAAATATCAATCAGTACAGAGGTAAAAACAGTATTTGAGTCTTGGTTTAATGACACATAGCTATTAACTAGAGAAATCTTGATTCAAAATTAGTTGTTCTGACCTCATACCCAGTGTTTCTTTCATGTTATTTGCTCTAAATTTCTCTTTATTTTGTAACAAAAGCATTTAAGTAATCTGAATTTTAATTTATTAGTTTTTCATAAAACAAAACATGTTTAGAGAGCACATGAACATTTTGCCAGAGAATCAGTATTTGAGTTTGAATTGCAAGAATTATAGAGGATTCCATTTGTATAAACTTGAAAAAATTGACAAATACATGTAGGTACTATCAAAACAATATTTAATTGTAGTAATTATAAAAAACAACAATAAAATTTTAAATAAAATTATTCATAGAATTTTCACCTACCTTTTTTGTGATATATTTTTATGCCCACTGGAGTGTATATATTACCCTCTGTAATAAACCCATAAATGAGCATTTGTTTCTTAAATAAAGGGCTGTATTTTTTATTTTTCTTGAGGACATCAACCCATTAGGTTTACACATATGAAATTGACATTTGTGTAGGTGAAAAGTGGTAAAATATTGACGTTTTCATATGGTTCAACCTAATAGGTTGGAGAATTTGGATAAATTGTAGATATTCTCTGAAGAGTATGAATGGATATAGGTAGGTTTGTTGGTTACATGTCAGGGAGTTGAAGGAATTCTCATCTAATTGATCAATTAACTTGATCTCTTTGAAGTAATTGAAACACAAGAGGACTCATGGTGAGAACTGGAAATTGGAGGAGGCTAGAGAAGTTGAAAATAATCATTGCAAAAAATTGGAGTATTAACTAAGGTTAGGAATAGTGGGTAAGAGTTGGGAGTTATAATGAACTGGCACTTCTAGCACATTAGTGAGATTTTCTGTAGCATTCTTCAGTGGCAGAGGTGAGTCATTGTTCAGACAGTTGTATTTTCTCTAGAGTGTAGCCAGGTATGAATGATGAAAGAAATAAGGGACAAGAGAATTTAGTGGAGTTTAAGATATCGTTAAAAGATTGTTGAAATGATGAACCTAAGAATCACACACACACATGCACACACACACACACACACACTCATCTTTGTGTGCGTGTGCGTGCGTACGTGCGTGTGTGTATGTGTGTGTGTTTGATGGGGATAAGAACTGATGGATATGAAAAATTCATAGAGTGGAAGAGCTAATGAATTTTTTTAAGTGATATATTAGAAGTAACTAAGTCTGTAAGAAGGAAGGTTAGGATAGTGATAGTTGTCCAAAGTTATGATTCAGAGAAATTCCAAGTCATGACAAAGTCTGGGGTGTGGATATGAAAGTCATTTTGAAAAGAATTATAGAGATGAGAAGATCAAGGAAATAAATGACTAGGATGTTGAAAATCAACCACATGGGGACTTTTGCTAGCTAGGGTAAACACAGGACTTGTACTACAGAAGATAGGGAAGAAAGTGTCAGTATTTTAAAAATCAGGGCATAATCATGGGTCCATAGAACAGTGAGGAGGAGGAAAAGAGGATGGAGAGCAGAACTGTGTGATCCGCAGAGGAACAAGGCAATTTACAAGGGTGTGGAGAGTTAATGGTCCGAGGTGACATTAGGGAGTGATCGGATAAAAACTAAATCAACAATAATAGAGTCTTACTTGAAAGGGCTGTGAAAATGCTATCTCCCATGTGTATGTGTGTGTGGGGGGGTTATATTTAAATTTTCTAGGTATATAAGGAATATTCAGAAAAAAAAAGTTTAGGATTTAGGGTAGTTTGTAACCATAAAATGGCATTCCAGAAATTGTGAAAGTGCAGATCATTTATCCTAAGGAATTTTGAATGTGTACAAAAATCAGCCAGAAGGATGTTCATTATTAATTTGTTTACAATTTTAGCAAGATTGAAAAAAAATGAAATAGAACAGGTTTAAATGAAAGATAATCTATCATAACATTTTTCTGTAAAATACTTAATTCACATATAAAGCAAATATATTTGTGTTTTGCTAATCTTATTTTATAATATATGATAAAATATGAATATGCATATGTATATATATGCATAATATGTGTATATATGTTCTGATAAAATTTAAATTGCACTTTTAAACTTGGAATTATGCTACTTCTGAGATATTCTTACTCTTTTTAGGGGCCATTTATCTTTTTATTTTTTTGTATCTAGTTCTAGTCCTACAATGTCAGTGCTAAACTCCTAGAGCCCAAAACACTATTACAGAAAATAAGGGCAGCCTCTCATTTAAATGATAAGTTTGGTTTACAAATTAAAATTATTAGGTCCTAGTGATGTATTTTATTGTAAACTAATTAATTATTTTATTTATTCTTTATTCATATGTTTTCACTTGACAAGAATTCTTTTATGCCTATTGTTATAAAACCAAACCTTGATTTTAACTATCAATGTGGAAAATAACTTAAAATTCGCTAATAGGTGTTACTACATAAGAAAGATTCTAGGTGGTTGCCATAGCTGGGGGTTGGTAGTTGGGCAAAATGGATGAAGGTGATCAAAAGGTACAAACTTCTAATTATAAAATAAATATCAGAGATGTAATGTACAGCATGGTGACTATAGTTATTAATACTACATGTATTGTACATTTGAAACTTGCTAAGAGAGTAGATATTAAAAGTTCTTATCATAAGAAAAAAATGTGTTACTATGTTTGGTGACAGATGTTAACTAGACTTTCTGTGGTCACAATATATACAAATATTAATTCATTATGTTGTACACCTGAAACTAATGTACTGTTATATGTAAACTATATCTCAATCAAAAAGACTAATATTTTTGTGTCAGGCACAGATAAATGTAAAATTATTCAGAAACTCATTGTAGGAACATAATAATCCAAGGAATCTATTTCATAGTTACTCATTTTTTGGAAAGAAAAAACAAAGACTAAATGTTATAAATGTATTTATACCTATTTATATCATGATATCTAAATACAGAGTGGCTTACTATAAAGTAAACAAACTATTTTAGTATGAAAAGAAGTCTTTAAAAATGGTATGAAATCTAGTTAAGTCAAATGGACAAGATCAAAACAACCAGTAGGTGATGAGTTGCTAGTTGGAAATTAGTTGGTCCCAAATAAATTTGAAGAACAGTTAAATGGTTCAACTTATATACATGTGCCAAGAATCCTACTAGATACTGGCGTATACAACAAAGAATAAGGTATATTTTCTTCACTTTACTAGCAGGTGACAAAAGCTAATAAAGTTTCATTTGTGTATTTCAAATGGAGAAAATCCTCTGACTTAATTACACTGAGGCATGAATTATCAATGGGAAGAGTAGGGATTGCTTTTCAACAGCACCTCTCCACCCATCCCTCTACGCCCACACCTTACTCTCTCTCGGAACTACAAAGCCAAGGAAAACCAAACCAAAAAATTGTAAAGTAGTCATACTGATTTATCTTGATGTGGAATGGAACTGTAGACTTTTCAAGAGATTTTGGACCTGGAGGAGACAACTTTGAAAATCTTGAAAATAGAAAGTAATAGGAATGAAGAGATCTAAATGGCTTCTTGGTCTCTTCCCAGATGTAGGTCTTTTGCTTTCCCCAGTTTATTTCAGTCTATTGTTCCTGTTTCTCTGCCTTTATGTTACTCTCATTTCTATAGCCATCCAAGTCTATTAATTTATAAAAATTTTATGATTATTTCTTCTCTCTTTGATATTCTTATGTACAAATTGTCCTTCCATTGTTGTTAAAATTTTATTTTAAAAGGCAAAGAATTTCTCAAAGGACATTAAATTTTAGATTTATCTTTTGGAGTTTTAATTATATTTATCAATTTCAAAATAGAGGTTAAAATATAATACTTCTTATATAATTTGTATATTTCCTCTATTTTCAATGTATCAATTAAATGTATAATTTGGAAAGATTACAAATAGCATTATATATTCTAAACTCTGAACTGAGAGTGAAAAAGACACATTCTTCCATGTCCCACCCTCTCACTGCTACAAATTTACAATTTTTACCTTAGGCTCTCTGTTTTTCCTCCCTTTTTACATTAAACTTTCCAGTAAAAATTTAACCTGTTAAACTTTTTAGATCCTAAATATAAAATTGTTAGCATGGTTTCCTGAAATAAAAAACTATTAGCATTACTATGTTATTTTCTCCAACAGCAGTAGGAAAAGAAACAATTAAGTTCCCAATTCAGATTAATTGCCTAAATTGGAAATTACCATCTGAAACAAATCTTTTAAAACATGAAATAAAAATTAAACTTACTGATACATCATACACTGTTGAGAATGCAAACTCCTCCACCTCTGTGCTGCTTTGTGATTTCTTGTCAAATGAATAGCATCCTGGCATTCTTTCAGACTTGTAAGCTGACTAAAGAAAGAATGCTTAAGGATTTAAAATAAACAAGTTTGACCAGTTGGGATGGGTAAAGTTCAACCAATACTATGGTTTGAAGTGAAGAATCACTTGATAAGTCTTGACTGCGGGAAAAATTTCATGGTTCTGGCTAATTAAGCGAGAAACAATACTGTGTCCAAAACCTAAGTAACACCCTTGACTACTTTGCATGGTTTTGTGTTTGACTTTCCTTCCAGGGGTGGCACTCTTCGTTCTGAGTCAGGACAAGTCTGGTCTTTGTGCCCTGCCATTTATCTCTTTCGGAGGCAAGGTTTTTCTAAAGCATTTGCTACCCTTGATTTGCCTTTCTTAGTGCAATGGTACATGTGCTCATTATGCCTGGCTCAATAATTCATCTGCATTTACTCTAAAGGGGAATCTGGCTTGAAAGAGGGAAAACATATATATATATTTGTGCAAACTGCCATTTTAAAGGGCTTCACCACTGATTGTCTCCTCTCCAGGTGCTCTCCTCTATGGTCAGCTCAGTGTCTACCTTCTCTGAGTTTTCTGTCAGTGCAACCCTACCTCACTGTAAGATTCAAGTAATTTAATCAGACTCTATCCACCAGGGTATATAGACTTGAAGATAACTCCTGCAGGATGTTTCCCTTTAATTTCCCAGCTTTCACACTACATGAACACTCTGAACCCATCCTTTCCCCTCAGGCAGAAATCTAGTTTTAGTTTTGCTTACTTACAAGTTTGTAGACCCGTTTCTCCTATTAGATAGTGAAACAGGTGAGGCCAGAAACTGTGATGTGTTTTACTAAATGCATGTACCAGCACTTCTGCAAACACTTCAACATTCAATACTTAGCTGAGTTTTTTTTTCAGTCGATTTGACAATCAACATTCAGATTCAGGTAGTCCCTCCATTGTTATGAGGGGAAAAATAAACATATTTCAGCAAAACAGCAACATATAATTACAATTAATAAATGAACATATGAAATATGTTCAACTTGGGTAATAAATAAAAATTCTATACCTTTGTCAACTTTTCTATTTATGTATGACAAATTATAACAAACTTAGCCACTAAAACAACAGGCATTTATTATCTGTTTTTAATTTGGAGCTGAAATCTCAGTGAGCTCAAGTTTGTTCTCTGTTTAGCCTCTCAGAGGCTGAAAGCAAGGTGTGAACTCATCTGGGTTTCTATCTGGAGGCTATAGTGAAGAATCACTTCCCAGCTCATTCAGGCAGTTGGAAGAATTAAGTTCTTTGCAGAAAGACTAAGATTCCTGTTTCTTTGTTACTGTCAGCCAAGGCTGACCTTGGCTTCTAAAGTCTACCTGCATTCCTTGATACATGTTTCCCTCTATCTTCAAGCCAACAATAGTGTGTCTTCTCACACTTAGAATCTCTGACTTCTCTGGTACCAGAAAGAGAAAATTCTCTACTTCTGGAGATTCTACATCTAAAGAATTAGATTAGACCCACCTGGAAAACCTCTTTTTTGATGAACTTAAAGTCAACTGATGAGTAATTTTAAACACATCTACAAAATTTCTTTTGCCATGTAATGTAACATAACCATGGGTATGATATCTCATTATATTCACAATGAGATACAAGCAGAAATTTAGAATTTTGGAGTTCTGTCTACCACAATACTAAAAGAAAGTATTGTTTTCTATCTTTAAGTTATATCTTTAAGATATCTGGGGATATGGTCAGTTGGTACAACAGTTTCAGAAAGCAAACTTGCTGAAATGGTAAGGAGGAAGGAGTTTCTGTGCAACAGGACCATTGATGCATGAGACATCATAGTGTGTTTAGAGCACTAGAAGTACTTTTTAAAAACTAAAATGAAGAAAGGGAAAACCAAAGGTAGGTGATTAAAATGAAAATAGAAAAAGGATAATCATGATATTTTTGTACATCAAGAAAATGGATTTTGTCTTTACCCTATATATCAAAGGTTCTTGATTGTGTGTGTGTGTGTGTGTGTGTGTGTGTGTGCGCGCGCCTTGTTCATATCCATTTCGGCTAACTGGAGAAGACTTTGGACCATTTCTCATAATAGTGTTTTTAACTTCATAAAATAGTGTTTTTAACTTCAAAAGAATACATAGAACTATACAGAAATAAACATATGGCAATATAGTTATCAAAATATTTTTAAATTTTGTGATTTAGTAATAAGTACACTCCTCTATTAACATTAAATGATATCAGATAGCAATGGATCTAATAATAATTTCAAAGTTGTGATGGGTATAAATATATTTTGATACATATGTAACTGTTAAATGACATAAAAATATCTAGGATTTCTCTTGGTGACAAAATCAGTACTACAGCTTATGTTACTGTTCTTTTTTTCTGTCTATGTTACAATGGAATGAAGTAATACATTTCTTTCAAAAGTTAGTAAAAATAAAGATGATTTTTTTTCTATTAAGGTTGTTGGGCTATAAATTAAGTATTTCTTTTGTAAGAGGTGGATAAATTAGAGGTATTTGAAACTGGTGCAGGAGAATGGACTAGAGGACATCAAGATTAGAAAAGGAAGATCTTTTTGAGGTTCTTCCAACAGTCCAGACTGGTGATGTTGGGAATAAAATAGAAGTTTAAGTCATTTGAATTTTTGAGTTTAAAAAATTGAAGCTATATGTGGTTCATACACTTAGATGTTGAAATTGATCACAATGAAGATAAGAGTTAGGTAGAGAGATCTATTTTGAGCAAGTGACTAGTACCTCAATAAATGTGGAGAGTGATCAAGAGATTGGCAGTAATTAGGCAGCAATATGTGGTATAGGTAGAGGCATGAGCCTATGCACTAAAATAGTGTGTGTGTGTTTTATATATATATGTGTGTATACATATATATATAATACAAGAATGCAACACTAATTGTTAGGAGACTATACAAGTATTTGGAAGCCTTTAGTTGGGAGTTGGAAGAATTCTGACTCAATATTTAAACAAAATAGTAAGAGCAATCACTTGAGAGGGCTGCAATAAAGGGGTGCATTAGATATGGATATCCATACTTTAGAAAGGTAATGAGGGAACATTCTGTAAAGAGACTGAAGGCACAGGAACTTTTTAATAAAAAGAAGCAAAGATGACTCAGTGGAACCAGTTGAGAAAGATGGTAGTTGAGAGATGTTAAACCAGTAGAGAAGACAAAAAGCGGTATCGGGAGAAGGAGAAGAAACCATAGTTATTGTGAGAAAGAAGCAAAGTAAAGTAAAGTATAGGTGATAACAGAGGACCTTCATGTGGTGCTGTGATGGAGAGTCATGGAGTGTAAAAGGGGAGGATGCAATTCTTTATGGTTTATAATCCTAGTATAAAATTTAGTTATCATATTAGATATCAGGCAAGTCTAGTGTTCTGGTCACAGTCTATATAGTATAACTATTTGATGTATCAAGTCAAAGATAGTCATTAAAAATGATTACACAAAACACATGATCATTGAAAAGTATCACATATAATCTCAGATATATATGTAATTATGTCAACTTTGAAAATATATGCATACATATATAAGGATTGGATGATAAAAAATAAAAATAATTGTGTTAGCCCAGCCAGTGTGGCTCAGTGGTTGAGCATCGACCCATGCACCAAGAGGTCACTGGTTTGATTTCCGGTCAGGGCACATGACCAGGTTGTGGGCCCTATCACCAGTGGGGGGCATGCAGGAGGCAGCCAATCGATGTTCTCTCATCAATATTCCTATCTCTCTCTCTTCCTCTCTCTCTAAAAATCAATAAAGAAAAAAAAGTTAAAAAGAAAAGATTGTGTTAAGTTGATACAATTGTGTGCCCACTCTGAAAAAGTATTAGTTATAATGTTTTTGTAGTATATTTTTAATGAAGATAAACCAATCATTCATTTCCATTACTTAAAAAATACTTTTATTCTGTAGTCCAACTATTTTTTTATGAATCTTTTGTCAAGTAGCTATGTCTTCATATTTATCTTTCTGATGGCTTCATTTTTACTTTTATTTATTTATTTTTTATTTTTATTTTTATTTTTTTATTAATTAACTTTTGTTACAGATGTTTCTCCTTTTCCCCCCACTGCTTCCCCACTCCCTCTCCCTCCCTGCCCTGTCCCCAGCATTGTTGTCCATGTCCATTGTTCATGCATACATGCATATAAGTTCTGTGGTTTATCTCTTCCCCCCCACCCCCTCTTCTGGGGATTGTCAGTCTGTACCCCACTTCCACGTGTCTGGGACTACCCCATTCCTCAGACTGTTATGTTCATTAAATTCCACAAATAAGTGAGATCATATGATACTTGTCTTTCTCTGTTTGGCTTGTTTCACTTAGGATAATACTTTCCAGGTGCCTCCATGCAGTCTCAAAGGATAAGAGATCTTTCTTTCTTACAGCTGGGTAGTACTCCATTGTGTATATGTACCACTGCTTTTTTATCCATTTGTCTACTGATGGACACTTGGGCTGTTTCCAGATCTTAGCTATTGTAAATAGTGCTGTTACAAACATGGGGGTACATATATTCTTTGTGATTGGTGTTTCAGGCTTCTTAGGATATATTCCTAGAAGTGGGATCACTGGGTCAAATGGCAGTTCAATTTTTAATTTTTTGAGGTAACACCATATTGTTTTCCATAATGGCTGCACCAGTCTGCATTCCCACCAGCAGTGTATTAGAGTCCTCTTTTCTCCACACCCTCACCAACACTTGTTGGATGATTTGTTGATGGTGGCCATTCTGACAGGTGTGAGGTGATACCTCATTGTTGTTTTAATTTGCATCTTTCTGATGATTAGTGATGTTGAGCATTTCTTCATATGTCTCTTGGCCATTTGTATGTCCTGTTTGGAGAGGTGTCGATTTAGTTCCTCTGCCCATTTTTTAATTGGGTTCTTTGTCTTCCTTTTGTTGAGTTGTATGAGCATCCTCTCTATATATTGGAAATTAACC